TATCAGAAATAATCTTTAATCAAGGGCATGTGAATATGAATTTCATCTAAAAAATAGTTTTGAATCAATCCTTTCTATAGTTAGATTTTAGGGAATCAGTTTATTTAAAGGCAAAAAAGTAAAATGAGACCAGCATAGAAACGTTGAAGATTTGCATGATACAGCCAGTTCTATATATTTAACAATAGCTAATAATGTACAGCAGTTAAAATAGTATCAACTGTCTGAATTCTTTTAACAATTTTATAAACTATTTATGCAAAAGTTAATCAAATTCTGATTTATTCGTAGATATGATTTGCTGTATAAAAACTGTCTTTGTCTACAGAATTTATTGAATAACTTGAGAGCTTTACAGACAAGCAAGATAAAAATACTGTAAATAAACAAGTCACCAGTAGTAGTGTGAAAGCTGCAAACTACAATAATGCTGTGTGCTATAATCCTGAATTGTTGGAAATGTATCAAAAATGTTTTAATAAGCCAAAGATAAACTCAATTTTATTCTTGATACAACTGGTCTCACATTTGGAATTTGGAGACTCACCAAATGCCTGTGGTAGAGGTGGCCAGCCAGAAAACATTTATTGAAGAGCAAATTTATATGGTGGTTCCTCACTGTAGAATATAACTCTTCAAGAACCATATAACTAGGTCTCTAGAATAAAATATCCCTTTTGTTTTAGCGTCTCCCCCCAAATTGTCAGACTGGCTACTACCTTGGGTAAGATTCTCTTACCCTCTTCAGACATAAATTCATGCTTGCATTCCTCTACAATACATTTTGCTAGCAGTTGCTTGGATTATGTGTGCCTATCTCTGATCAAAAGCAATAATTTGATTACAGAATTATGGTAACAGCATATTAGATCCATTGGTGGGTTTTGGATTGACATTCTTTTCTTCAGATTAGATGGAATAGACAAATACAATTATACAGCATGAAATCTACTCTGATTATATTACCATTTCAGAGAAGTTTTTGAGCTTTTGTCAGATATCTGACTGGCTTCATTTAAAACCTTGAAATCATGTGCAATATTCATTCTGATAATATTATGTTCATATATACCAGGCATGTAAACATTTTAGCTTGCAGGCTGAATAAAAGCCCATGCAGGCAATGCCCACAAGGGTAAAACCAATCCTGATACGTCACAATATGGCCTGCAATGCGATCAGGTTTGACACCCCTGATCTACACTATAGGTAATCCTTGATTTATGACAGGTTGCTTAATGACCATTCAAAGTTCTGGCAGATCTACAGGGGGGTACTTACAACCCAGATTCAAAATTGCAATGGTTATCTCTCCCAATTGTGTAACCACACTCGACACAACAACCGGCCACATTTATAGCTGTGGTGATGTGACTGTGTTTTATGATGGTTTTGTTGAAACCATGTGTTTACTTTCAGTTTTCAGTAAAACACTTCCCAGCAAACCATGGGTTTACTTAACAACCATGGCATTCACTTAGCAACAGCCAGAAAAAAAGTCATAAAATGAAATTAGACATCTGACTGACCCATTTTATGCCTGTCACCAGTTACAATCATGATAAGCAGGCTCCATTATGGTTGTAACTCAAAGACTAGAGCTTTTGCAGTGAACTAGTATATGGGTTATTTAATGAACTAGGATATCAGATATATGTAATATTGGTTCGTACTAGTACTGTATACTAGTTTAGTGTCTGTATTGATAATTTTGTTTCAGTAGCGGAAAATATAGTTACAAGGAGTGACCAATACTTTGTAGGAGAGGAGAAAAAAATCAGGTAGATTAAAAACAGCAGGCAGAAACAAATAGAATGAAATTTATCAGGGAGAAGTATAAAGTTATGGATTTAGGTAAGAAAATGCATGTACAAATCTGGCTCAGGAGCACATCTGAAAAGGATTTGGATGTATTAGTAGATCTTTAATGCAATGTTAAACTCAGGAAATCAGGAGTCAAGGTGGTTCAAATGAACACAGGTTTATTACATGCTGACATTCAACAAACTGAACTACTAATGGTCAAATAGGTAGATAAGAATAAATAGAAATCAAGGTAGGCTGGATTTAGATCTTTTGTGGGCGCAAAGGAACTTGAGACTGATGATGTGCTTGACCCTTCCCTTGGTCTCAGCCTCACCATCTCCTTCATCCAGTGCATAAATGTGTGTAAACCTAAACATCTATATTCTTGATTAAATGTGGTTGCATGCTTATGTGTGACAATGAATAGTGATTGATTAATTAGTAAGGTGGCATCAAGTTGTTTTAAACTCTTGGCAATCACATAAATCATGATGATCTGATAACCTGGTTCTTCAACTCTTATCAGTAGTGCACAACAGGAATGGAGGGGATTAAAATACTAACATAATTACATATAAAACAAAAATGATATATAATAATTGAATACAAAGTATTTTCACCCAGTTCATAAATTTCCTTAATAGACCTAGAGTTTCTACTTAGAGTTGCCTGATACGTAAATGGGAAGAAGACTTACTGATTTTAACAAAATCCCACTCCTTTGTGGGAGTGCTAGATTAATTAAAGTGGGAGTGATGAGACACATGAGGACCTATTTTTAGTCTCAATTAACAGGAGTTGCATTTTGCAAGGATTCCAGCAACTTTTCTCTTGCAAATATACAGTGCAAAGCTCTTTGATAGTGCAAGTAGAATATTCAAGTAAGCTTCAAAACAGAAATAACAGATTAAGACTCTCAAATGGAGCTCAGCTAAGATTGACTTTTACCTGATCACAAACACATGCATTGTTTAAAATTCATGTTTTTGTTAAGAGCTTAGATCTCACTGAATTCTGAATTGTGTCTATTGCTGTTAATATTTCTTAAAAGCACATTCTCTTGACCAATACATTTTGTGAGGAAGTTCTTACTGTCCTTGGTTGTAAGATTTCCTCTCCTTTGCTGTATTCTCCGGCTGCTTTAAAGTTGTATCTATGAGCATGAGATTTGTAAAACCCTGGTATCTTGGTAGTAGGCTATAAGAGAGGTGCAGCAAGGTAAAAAAACGAGATGCCTGTGCAATGCTTCTCCCATTTCCATCTCTGACCAGCCGTGAGTGCTAACTGCAAAATAAAAAGCTACTTCCAAATATAAAGATGACACCTAGATTCCTATGTTTGCATTTAGAAAAGGGGATGGAAGCTACAACAAAGGCATGAAGGAACAGCAAGAAAAACAAATCACTGAGACTGGAAAAACAGCAGATAAAGGAAAAGGCAAGGGGAATGAAATGGTAAAGACATACAGGCAGTCCACTGATGATTGCAGTGTCCTGTGATCCCCTTTTGCAACCTTCTGACAAGCAAAGTCAGTGGGGAAGGCAGATTCATTTAACTGTGTTACTAAAATGCAGTGATTCACTTACCAAATGTGGCAAGAAAGGTTGTAAAATGGGGCAAAACTCACTTAGAGAAAACTCACAAGTGTCTCAATTGACAACATAAATGTAGGGCTCAATTGGGATCATAAGTTGAAGACTATCCGTACATTGGGAAACTAACTAAGGAAATGAAGTGGCAAGGTATTCGGGGAGGAGAAGGAGGCGGTTGAGGAGGAAGAGGAGAGAGGACAAATTAGAGTGAAAAGATAAGCCAAGGGAAAGAGCCCATTCAGAATAAGTGGGTGTTGATTGCAGAAAAAACTGCTATTTGCTGAACAAATAGTTTTATTTCAGAGAAAAGGTTTGATTGCTATAATGAAAAGAAATGGAAAGCCTTTTATCCATTACTATACTTGAATATAAACAGTTCCTTACTACACAAAGCTTTTACCTATAAGCAGTTTTTGGTTGCTTTGAAACTTTTTTAAAAAAGAAGATTGCATTAATACTTTGTCCAGAGAGTCTCAGTAGTATGTTTCCAGTTACCATGAGGGTTGTATATCTGAAACAGCACACACACGCACATATTTGCCAATGTAGCAAGACACTTTTGAGTGACTGTCTTGGGTGGCTATATTGCTGATGAATCAAATGGGATTAGATATTTTCTACCAACACCATAATCAGTGGTGGGATTCAGCCAGTTCGCACCACTTCGGGAGAACCGGTTATTAAGTTTCTGAGCAGTTTGGTGAACTGGTTGTTGGAAGAAATCATTAGGGCAGAGAACCGGTTGTTAAATTATTTGAATCCCACAACTGATCGTAATACTGTGTTTCTTCCTGCTATATGCTAAATCAAGTACAATTCTAAGCATTAAGACAAATTCATGTAATGCGCTAGGCAGTTGTTCTTTTGATTAGTCATCATTTGGGGTGATATCTTAGCCAATTTTGCCAGCAATTAAATATTTTTTTAATTTTTTTAATAGTTGGGGTTTTGTTTTGCTTATGTCCTCTTGCTTATGTCCTCTTGTATTTCTTAATTCTCCTCCATGCTGCATCGAGAGCCCAGGATGGGTTGACTGCTTCCTATGACGTCATTTAGCTGAGTCTGTACTAAGATATAAAAGCCAGCCCCCAGAAAAGACCCCAGCTTTGGTGAAGATACTTGACAGACTGAAAGGTGTCTCTGAAAGCACAAATGAATACAGAAATATGACTTACCCTCTCCGGACGAATCAAGGGACGGGCTGGGCTCTCTCTCAGCATAGATAGAAAAGGCGTTCAGGGTAACTTCCACCAACACCCATTCTCCTCTATGCTGCATCGAGAGCCCAGGATGGGACATACCAAAGCTTGCATGTCCACGGGCGGGTCCTCGTCTGGCTCTTTTCAGATAATAGGCAATGATTTTAAGGGTTGTTATTTTAATTTACATTTATACATTTTCAGTTTAAGCTTTCCCATTAAATATAGATACATAATCTTTCTAATATTTAAAGAAAGCAGAAAGTCTGATTTTCTTTCTTTTATATTAGTACATTATACAGTACTTTAGCAATGAAATTTGATATCTAATCCTGTGAAAACTGAGCACATAAAATACAATTTACAGACAGCAGGCCATAACTTACTATTAAATTCTCTTCAGATCATAATGGTATCTATCCCAGAATACTATGAAGGCAAGAATGTCCTCCTCACTGGTGCTACCGGTTTCATGGGAAAAGTTCTTCTAGAAAAGCTACTACGATCCTGTCCAAGGGTAAAAGCAATATATGTTTTGGTGAGATATAAAGCAGGAAAGACATCTCAAGAAAGAGTAGAAGAAATGATCAACTGCAAGGTATGTTTTCAGAAGACATGTTTAGTAAAAAATGTTTTTACAGTTTTTGAAATGTTTTGACTAAAACAGAGAATACATATGTTGAAGTAATGTTTTACTACATGACTATATAGAATCATTTTTATCATTAACATAAACCTACAGAAGTTTGAGTTTATTTGTAGGCTATTTTGCATTCTTGCCAAAAACGTTTATCATTCTTGAATGTCAGATATTTCTTTTTAACCTACTGGTGTCAGACTACAAACATCTTCTAGTGGAGGAGGAACATTGAATAAATAAGGATCTGAAAACAAAAGGACTTGTCAAAGATGGAAAGACAAAAGCAGGTGATCAAAGAAGAATGCATATAGGTGCCCTGAAAAATGTCAGGAAGTTAATACTTCAGAATGAGTTGAGCTTGAATGTGAAAAACAATAAAAATATCTTCAAATAAATGGAGAAACAATATAAGTGGTATTTAGTAGTTATAGCAAAAGAATAGCATGACAAATGAAAAAATAGACCTTCTCTTCTCCTATTTTGACTTACTCAGGATATGTGTTACAGGCTAGAAGAGATTAGACAACTGCTTGTCTGAAATAGCATAGGATTTCTTGCTTGTTCAGGAGGTTGGACTAGAAGACCTCCAAGTCCTTTCCAATTCTGTTATTCTGTTAAATGTGAAATACTGATAGAAGCAGCGTGATTTGAACTTGAGGATATAATAATGTGGATTCCTGCTGACTTTACATGAGATCAGACTTTCGGTAACCTTGTATGATAGTGAAGAAATTTGTTGATGGTCTGGTTTCAATCTCTCTTCATTTGAGAAGTCTTATGAAGTAGCAAATAACAGAGAATAAGCTTGTCTATTCTCTAGACAAGAAAGATCCAGGGAATTCAGATCAATCTGACATAACCTGGGAAGATTCTGGAACAGATCATAAAAGTTTGTAAGCATCTTGAAAATAATAGAGCTGTTACAGAAGTCGGCATGATTTTGTTAAAAAGAGGTATTATCAAATTAATCTTAGCTCATTAGTAAAATATATAAATGTAATATAATGTACTTTACTTTAGTAAAGGATTTAACAAAGTAAGGTACAATATTCTGTTTAAAAGTATAGTTAAATTTGGGCCAGTTAATATGCCTAATGCCTTAGGTGACTTGAAATAATATTAAAATAATGCTTATCAGTGAAAATGAATTCAGTATCACAGGAGTCTGGAGCTAGTAATTTTCAAACTTGTTATTAATTATTTGAATCTATCCCCAATTAAAGGATTACAGGGTCATAAAATGGGAGTTATGAATGATTTGGGTGAAAAGATGGAGAAACATTTTGTGAAATTTGACTGGTACAAAATTTCATTTTTCTATATTCAACAAAATTTGAAGTGATCTTCATAGGATATTAGAGAATTGAACTGAAAATTCAATTTCTAGTCACCTCTAGATGAGATGGTGATACACAAGTCAAATAATTATATACAATTGATTTGATTTAATTAATTTAGATACCATCCAATTTCAAACTACTGTGAGTGGCTTACAGTATAACAGAAAAAATAAAATACAATGCAGTTTAAGAACAAACCAGCAAAAGACAAATAAGAAAGCAAATAAAAACCAGAAAGATGAATCCAACGACAAAATTCACAAAAAGATCCAACCATCCTAGGCTAAGGCCTGAAAAAGATTATCAAGATCCTCCAGAATCGGGATGGAAAGCCACCTACATTTCAAGGCAGCTTCATTCCAAAGGGCAAGTGCTGCAGTGGGGAAAGTATATCTCTTGTATCTCAAAAGATGGGATACATGGTTCCAACCAGTAGTTCAGACTCATCCCAAATCACACAATGAGACTACATCCTTGCAAGGAGATAGGGCCCATTTGATACCAGCTAGCCAGAAGGCAATAGACTGATTGTAATAGTCTCTACCATCCGATCATGTTGCAATTGCTCTGAGACAAAACAGATCCAGTGTCCAGATGCTGGTATGTGTCAGACCATTGATGACTTGGGACAGTTCCATGGTTGCCATGGAGGCCACAAACTCCTGAGCTGCTCCAGATTAAATGTCATCAGGTGGCAAATTGAAATCTCTGAGCACCAACGGCCTTTGCAACCCTCTGGCAGCCCAGCAGAAGAATTTAGCAGTGCAGGCGGTGATGCTGCTGAGCAGCTGGGAGGGTGGTACCCTAGCAACCATCTCAATTCTTCCCTAGAGTTCAGCCTCAACCAGAACACCTCAACATATGGTTAACAGTAGAGTAGAGCCTCTAAGACAGGGCTGTGAAACTCCCGGCCCATGGGCCGGATGTGTCACGCGCTGGCCATGCCCATGCCTGGTTTAGCAAAGGGGGGGGGAGAAGTCCTGATATGTCACGTGACACCGCTGTGCCAACATGAGTTTGATATCCCTACTCTAAGAACACACAGACTCATTCATGTATGACTAAAGCCACACCTCCTTCCCCCCTTCCCCTTTGATCTCAGCTGATGCTAAACCTGAATTCAGGCAGTTCTAAGGGGGCCAGTGAGACACACCGGGCCAGTGCCCTCATCCATGGTAAAATCATGAATGAGAAAGGCTTTATTACATACTGCCCTGGTCTTCAAAAGCAGCAGCTAAAGCCTAAGACCACCAAGCATCTGATAGCCCAGGCACTGAAAATACAAGATGAGGTTTTGAAACCAGGACCAACTACTTTCAAAAAGCTCTCAGTGTATTTGAATGTAGCCTGCCCCTCAGTTCCTACTATACTTCCCTTTGCTCTCCGATCTTTCACTTCTTTCTCCCAGACTAGATATATAATGTCACACCGACTGATCCCCCATGCACTGAACCCATGGTCCCCAATAAGTTAACTGGCCCCACTACCCTTAACCACATGTTCCTAAGCACTCAATACCAACTGGGGACAGGCCCCCTTCAGTGAAAGAGTAATTTTCCCATCCCATTAAAATGGGAGGGATGACACCACTAGAGATAAAGGTAGGGAAACCACAGCCTCCTGAGTTCTAAGAAAAGCCCCAGTGGTGCAGATCTCAAACTCATCTAGGGAGCTAAAAAGCAGGGCCATCAACATCTCCCAAGTTGTAAGCAGGCCTCCAATATAGACCAATATAGCATCTCTTATCCTGGTGCTGCTGGTTTTCCCCAACAGCCTGTAGCTCTTTCCTAGGTCCTGGATGACAAGGGGAGGGCCAAAATGCAGGTGAAATATGCCCATGTCAACAAAATTATTGGCAATTGGGTGGCATATAAATGTTACAAATTGTTATTATTAAATTTAATTTGATGCTATAACTAGTTTATGGGTTAAAGCTAGGTAAATGCATCCTTGGCCACAGCTTTCATCTGCCCATCTAAGTAGGCTCTAGCCAGAATGTAAGGCTACAGACTTTTTCTTGCAGGGGCAATAACACCCTCTCAAGAGATACCATTGAACTTTGATAGGCAAATGGGAATTCTAACTAGCTTTGATTCAATTTCAACTTGATTTGTCTTATCCAAAGCCTTACAGCTTCGAGACATTGTAGCAAGATGCTGATGTTGCATCTTGCCATCATTGGTGTTGTGTAGAGTAGCAGTTAAAAACAAGGTGACATCACTATATTAATGATACTATATGTAATTATGATTGGAATGATGAATGTTACATAGTTTTATCCTTTTGAAATGCACATGAAATGTACATGTCACAACTTTTGTCTGGAATGTGGAATATGTTGCTTAAACCTAAGTAATATGCTCATCATTATTTTTGTCTTGCTTAATGTTTTGTCCTACTTTTTGATAGCTTTTTGATAGATTGCGAGATGAGCAACCAGAATTTAAACAGAAAATTGTTCCAGTTGCTAGTGATCTTACAGAAGTAGAAATGGCCCTTAGTGAGGAAGACAAGAAGAATATTCTAAATTACATTAATATTGTATTTCATTGTGCTGCTACTGTAAGATTCAATGAAATCCTAAGGTGAGTATGTTTTCATTAAAACCAATGCCATTTCTAATATTTTTGATGTAATCTCTTGATTTCGTACACTTAAAGAAAAAAGATGTATTACTTTGTCAAGCCTTAATGTCTTGGCTCAGAATAAGAACAAATATATTAATTTGTAGGCAGTCTTCAGTTACCAATCACAGTTGGGACCAGCAGTTCCATTCTTAAGGCATGGAAAGTGAAAAATCACATGACCATACCTGATTTATAAATGCAGTTTCCCTGGTCCAGCTGCCTTTGTTAAACAAATCAACACTTTAAATATAACATCACATGATCATAACTTGCGACTTCCTGCTGGTTTCCCCAATGACTTTTTTTTAAACAAGTTTTATTCAATTTTTCACATAAAAACAAAACGCTCTTTTTAATGGACAACATATTTCCGGATCGTCACTTTTACATACAAATAAGACAATAATTATATAGTCATATGTGCATACTTAATTCTATTATTACCTTTTCCATTGCAAATTTACAGAAAAGAGAAAGACAAACAAATTAATCCAAATCTCATATTAATCTCAATCCAAACATCCTTCCATTTCATTTCAATTATTTCAAATATAATCCTTTAATATTTTTTAAGAGTAAAAAATAACAATATGTTTGCCTAATAAAAAAGGTTACCAGTCTCTCCTTCCTTTTAATAGTCTGTATTAGCTTATTAATTTAAATAGTTCTTTAATCTGTCATATTTTCTTTTCATCATACATTCTTTCTATAAATTCTAGATTGATACAAGCTTTAACACAAGCGAAAAAGAAACAAACTTAGGTTTCTCCCCTTTTACTGCTTTGAGTGTGACACCTCAGTGGTTAAAATATACCTTTATTCCCTCATCTTAATTCCCAATAAACCTTCATTTTTAAGTAGTTACAATAATAATCATTACATCTTTTCATTTGGGTTCCGCAATATATTTTCCCCCCTTAATTTTATTTCTAATTTCAAAAAGGTAAAAGGGAAAAATTGACTATTTAATTCCTGGTTACTGATATTGACCTCATTTTTAAACATCTTCACATTCATTTCATTTATTACAATTTTTTCAATAAACCTTAACTTTTCTTTTAAAGATAAAAATAAAAATGTATATTTATCTAATAAGAGTTATCAGTATCTATCCCTCCTTTAATAATCTATATTACCCTATTTTCTAAGTATTTTTAATTGCAAATATATTCTTGTTGCCCCTTGTCACCCTGCAGAATCCCCTTTTTAATTCATCAACCATTATCTCTTTAAAAAAATTATTTTCATCATTTTACTATTTCCGTGTTTCTTTATTTCCTGCAACTGTTTCTTACTGCCTCTCCTCCCTCTCTTTTTCCCATATCTTTTCCCATTCCAGTTTATATCCCTCTCTTAGCTGTCAAAATTATTTTCTTGGTTTTTTTTCCTGTCCCTTTGTATTTTCACTGCTCACTTTTAAGAGTTCAGTGTTACCTTAATCCCGGGGTACTTTTTGTTTAGTTGTTTTACCCAATTGTCCCGGCTCAGAAGTTATCCACCTCTTTCCTCACTCCTGCACAAATCTTAGTCCAGCTGAGTCCTCCTCTTCGGGGTGGCCATTTTTGACCACCGTTTCAGTCGTCTTCGAGGGGAAACAGACCAAGCCCAGTAGGGGAGATGCGGCTCCCCTCAACCTGGCTGGCAGCTTCCCCTTACTCCACTGCCCCTCCAAGGCAGCTTCAGTCCCTAATCGCAATGATCGGGGCTCTCCAACAAAAGAGCACGGACCATAGCTGCAGACAGTCATGATCTATGGTCTGTCAGCAAGGAGGGCTCAACCTGGAAGTATTGACTTTTTGTTGGTAGCTGTCTATGAAAGTTGCAAATGGTCACCATAAAAATTCTGCAACCGTTGTAACTGCATGTTAATTGCTAAGCCTTGAATTGCAATCATATGACGAATGATCTGCAATAACCAAACTTGAAGAAACAATCATAAGTCTCCTTGTTCAGCACTTTCATAATTTTAAATGGTTGCTAAGTGGGGACTACCTGTACTTTTTACTGCTTCTAAGACTTAAAAATATACAGTACATGCTTAATTGGCAATTGAATTAGAGCAGTGGTTCCCAAAGTGGGCGGTACCGCCCCTTGGGGGGCGGTGGGATGCCTTGGAGCGCTAAGAGGCGGCAGGGGGGCGCTGGTGGCCCCCTCGCAGGGCGCAATTCAGGGGTGGGATTTTGGAGGTAGCTTGCCCGAACTCCTGTGCAAAGGGGAGCACAACGTTGTTGCACCGCACTAATGGGGGGTGGGGCGAGGTGGCTCATCCCCAAAGTGCCAGCATTGCTCCAGCGACGCAGCCCCGAGGATGCTAACTTTGCCTGCACCTGTCACTAAAGTGCGGCAGCCAGAGAAATGCTCCATTCAGAAGCGCTGAACTTCCAATCGGCGCTGGAGGCAACGTTGCAAGGGAAGAGGCAGCGCCCGAAGGGGCTTCCACAAAGGGGGAAGAAAACCCTCTGCCACTGCCGCTGCTTTCGCCCCTCTCAAAAACCCTGCCAGGTCCCGGGTGTCCTGTTTGCAGTCCCGCCCAAGAACGTGCCCCCTGCCCCCTGGTTACCTGTCTATTAGGAGCATCCGAGCCTGGTTTCTGGAGTCCTTTGGGGCACTGGGTGTAAAACCGCATCCAGCCGGCCACTCCTTTGTTTGAAGGGGAGATTTCTGGTTCCTTGTGTTGCCATGTTTTTTTCCTCCCGTGAACGGTGGAGGAATCAAGAGTTTCACGTATTTGTGGCGTGGGTCCCTGTCACAAAATTGGAGCCTTTTGGCAAAGCTTCTTGTATTTTATGTTACAGGCCCATTGCAGAGAGTTTGTTGAGAGAAAGAGAAATTGTAATATAATGGCAAGAGTTCCATTTTATTATACTGGTTGGAGAGTGGCTTCTGATAATCATGAAATGCAAAATAGTAAATGTTTCCCCCTCCTAATCAAGGTGACAGTATTTAATACCTGAGACAATAAGCAGTAGAAATTCAACGATACAGAATGAATCATTTTATGTGACACCTCACTGTTGATACTTAGAGACAGTTTTACTGTTAGCAGAGAGAAGCAGCCAGAATCACTCTCATCTCTTGAGAGCCCGGCCAAAGTTTCCTGTGCCACCATCAGTCAAAATTCAAATTAGTGGTCCACGGGATTTAAATTTATGAGTTTGGTGGTCCCTGAGGTCCAAAAGGTTGGTGACCCCTGGATTAGGCCAAACCTGCCTGGGCAGAAAATAGGTAGGTAGGTTAAGGAAGGGATAGAGAGAGGGGGAACGAGAGAAAGAGAGGGAATGAGAAAGAAACAGAAAGAGGGAGGGAGGAGAAAGTGAATGGGATAAGGAGGGAGAGAGGGAAAGGAAAAGAGAGAGAGGGAATGAGAGAAAGAAAGGGAGGGAAGAGAAAATGAATGGGATATGGAGGAAGGGAGAGAAAGAGAGGGAAAGAGAGAAAGAGAAGGAAGGGACAAGAAAGAAAAGAAAGAGAAAAGGGAAAGAAAAAGGGAGAAAGGAAAAAAAAGGATAGACAAAGGGGAGAATGGAAGGAAGGGACAGAAAGAAAGAGAAAGAAAAAAAGAGAAAGGGAGGGAGGAGAAAGTGAATGAGATATCTAGTCCAACCACCTGCTCCAGCAGGGTTAGAAGTATGCATGCGTGCGTGTATGGCTGTCAAAACTCCAAAAACATGTCAAGTAGCTCTGGGGAGGTCAGGCATAAATTAGAACACTTATTAAGCAACCAGCCATTAAATGAGGACCACTTGTATTTGGTTTGCCAGTCACATGGCCACCTGGCCACGCCTACCCAGTCACATGACCACCAAACCATGCCCAGCCAGCAAGCCATGCCTTGCCAGTCACATGCCCACAAAATAAGCCATGCCTACAGAACCAGTTGTCAAGAAATTTGAATCCCACCCCTGGGTGGGGAGCACTGAGGATGAGTTTGTAGCACCAGGGGGGCGGTGGACTGAAAAAGCTTGGGAACCACTGAATTAGAGTATGACAATTTGTAATTTGAAATTTAAGTTTATCTCAGAAAAAAATGTTTGGAATTGTTATTTACATGCTTTTTTTGCACTAGGCATTTTCTTTCTTCAGCTGTTGTTCATGGCACAAAGCTCTTATGCTTTTTTTCTTTTACTTCAACAGGGATGCTGTTCAGCTCAATGTAATTGCAACACAACAGCTTCTCTTCTTGGCTCAGAAAATGAAGAATCTAGATGTGTTTGTCCATGTTTCAACAGCATTTGCATACTGCAATCGAAAACACATTGAGGAAGTTGTTTATCCACCTCCTGTTGATCCTAACAAATTAATAGATTCCTTAGAGTATGTATTCTTTAATAGTTTTCCTCTTCTATTGTTTCTTTTGATAATATGATGATGATGAAGAGTTGGGATTTAATTTAAAATCATTTCTGGTTTGAATTAATTCTGGATATAGTTGCTTAGTGCTGTCACTGCTCAAAAAAATACACTGCTCAAAAAAATAAAGGGAACACAAAAATAAGACATCCTAGATCTGAATGAATGAAATATTCTTATTAAATACTTTGTTCATTACATAGTTGAATGTAAGGAGATAGGTACTAGGGAAGATGAGAGCAATGATGATCATACTGTCTTTCTAGATAGTTTGACAGTGTTGTGGAATTAGTTGTTTTGCAGAGCGATGGCATGGGGGAAAAACTCATATCTAGTTGTTCTGACGCATTATTGCGTCATTTTGAGGGTAGAAGTTGAAATTTGGGTTTAAAGCACTTTTGTTCCAGCAGATCATTTCTGCAGGTGGAAAGCCAAAATATAATTTTTGTAGGTTTTTCCTTTCAAATTTTATGCAAGTAATGTTTGACTTACTACCATTTGTTTAATGACTATTCAGATTACCATGGCACTGAAAAAAAGGTGATTTATGACAAAGCCTCACACTTACACATTGCAGTTTCCCCACAATCATGTGATCAAAACTTGGGTACTTATTTGCAGCGTTCTGGGATCATGTGGTTATCATTTGCAGCTTTCCCTCCTAGCTTCTGATAAGCCGAATCAGTGGGTGAAGCCATAGTTGCTTAATGACGGCATGATTCATCTAAGAACTATAGTGATTCACTTAAGAACCATGGCAAAAATGTTGTAAAATTGGGAGAAACTTAACTACCTTGCTTAGCAATGGAAATGTATTTGTTAATTACTAAATGAGGGGCTACCCAATTGCATTCATAAGTCAAGGAGTACTGTACCTTCTGAAAGTCTCCTCCAGTATATTAGTTTGTATGGAAGACAAAACTACTGCTGGAAATTGCAGAGGGAGGAGAAAATTTTTCTTTTCTGCTTGTCTAAAGTAAAATTCTGGACCAAAGCTTGTTTTTCTTGTTTTTGGTTAGAATTTTTGATGGTAAATTGCATTATAATTGTTAATAAATATAATCTTCTTGAGGTGTGTTAACTTTTCAGTGAGAATGAATGAGCTATGTGCTTTTAAATTTGGACGGTCTTAATGAAGTTAAGCTTTTCAGTATGATCTTTTAGTATGACCTTTCCCCTAGCTTTACTGTTCTCTAACACTGAAGTTCAGACATAACTTCATTGTTTGTGATTATTTTGTGGCTTATTGAAATAAATGTAGGTGAGTTAACACGATTACATTTTCAGGTTGGTTTCAGTAGATTTGAAGAACACCTAATTTTCTGCAATTTTCTGTATTTTGGAGTAAGGTTGTGTTGTAAAGTTCATCAGACTTTACTCTGAGTACAACTTTTAGAATTGTACTCTTAATATAGATTCAGTCCACTATTAATGATGTAAACAGTGGTACAAGAAATTAGGCTTTTTTTCCATGAAATTATTATTAATTGCAGCCACCAGTTTACTTTTTTGATACTAATTTTCATTATAGTAAAAAGAAACTAAAAATGATTGCCTCAAAAATGACAGTTCGATTAAGCCTCTTATATTAAAATATGTCCTTTTGAATTGATTGTATAAAGAGATGTGTTTAACTACTCTTAGTTACAAGTGGACCTAGTGATAGATTTTTAGCAAAAAATAATAATGCTTTTTACCTTTGAGATACTTTAGTTCTGAAATAAAAAACTAGCTTAATTTAGTTGGTAAGAAATGTGTTTTTATCAATAATGTCTCAACTTTTTCTTGAAAAACTGGGTGGAAATAAAGTACTGAAATGCGTTTTAAGTTATGATACTATTAGATTTTCAAAAGAGCTCTAGGTATACAAATGCAAATGCATATATAAATATTATACATATACAAATTCAAATGCATTTTTAGCTGTTGATATAATTACTGGAATGAAACACTGGAATGGCCTGAAAAATTATGGAAAAACAAATTGTATGAATTAGTGAGGTTAAAAACTACATGTTCATATAGTCCAGCACAGGTTATATGTGGTCTATTTCTTTGTGCAGTTCATTTATTGATACAACTAAAAAGCTAAATTTTCTGTACTTGTAGTTGGTTGCTGTAAGAAGTATCTTCATTTTCTAAAAAAAATAGATGAATGTGTTAGTTCTAAAACAAAATAAGCATGCCTTTATTGCAGCAAAACCTAAGATCTTCAGGTAGATTCACTAATTTACCTGAGAAGCTGATAGATCATCCCTGCAGAGATAAGATTGGCTCCCATTTTGACCCTCTTTTGTAAGGCTGTGACCATGTTCTGCCAACAGGACTGGGGATCCCAGAGCTATATATGGAGCCCATCAAGTGGTTCATCTGATTGTTGGGGGGAGGGGGATATTGGTTTTTGTATTGGGGTTTCATCCTTGTAAACCACCCAGAGTTACTGAGATTGAGTTGGGCAGCCATATAAATTTTACTAAATAAATAGGAAACTTGTTATAAGATATATTATGCTTGTTGGACACTTCAAAGTGATACTTTATAAGTTTAATATATTTAATTTTTCAGGTGGATGGATGATGGTCTAGTAAATGATATTACGCCAAAACTAATTGGCGATAGACCCAATACCTACACATATACAAAAGCCTTAGCAGAATACATTGTACAGCAGGAGGGTACAAAATTAAATATTGCCATTGTGAGGCCATCAATTGTGGGTGCCAGCTGGAAGGAACCTTTTCCTGTAAGTCAGTGTTTTATTATTTTTTCTTTATCAATATTTTGTCATTGTTGACCCTTGAGCTATCTTTATTGTTTAGATATTGGCAAGAATTATGTGACAAGTTGGATATAGAATGGCTGTGCTTTCTGCCTTAAAATTCTTTTGTGAAGAAAAATCATGTGTGGGTCTTTGCAGAATATAAGAAGATATAAAAAACTGCCTTACATAATTTTGGATCATTGATTCTTCCAGGTCAACATCATCTCTGTTGACTGTTGGAAATCTTTAGAAATTCACACTTGGGTTTTCTTTAATGTGTACTTGAGGGATCAGACTTTGGTATTTCTGCATGCAAAGCAAGTACCTGCCTCTAAATTATAGCTTCTCTCTCCTAAATAATTCATATATCCAGCTACAAGAACCTATACTTCTCAATTATATTTCAGTAACAAGGATTTTTAGCATATAATTAATACTAATTACATTGTTGAACAGGATATTTCAGAAATACTAGCATTATATTTTAAGCTACTACCATGCAATTGTTATTTTGGAGCCTCTTGTTAAAACGGCTCTTGAAAAAATTCCTACTTACTTGATACATATGTGAAAGTAATTACAGATCACTGCATTCATTGCATATTAGCACTGATAAGTATCGGCATAAGCAAATACTAATTCAGATCTTTAAATTTTAGCATCTGCTCATTTTATCATAATGAGAATTAAACAGAATATCTCCTTTATTCTAGACATATTTTTGCTGATAAAATTGAAGTAATTTAAAATTTGACAATTTCTTTGATATATTATTCCTGTAATTCATACTTCTAAAATGTCACAACTATATTAAATTCATGAAAGATATTTTTAAGCAGTGGATACGTTTGACTTGCAAAGTGTAAACCAGGATTTTTATATTTCTGTTATACTATGAATATATCAGTTCTTGGACCTTGCCTGTACCTGATTAGTTCTTTCATTATAAGTAACTAAACTAGAAATAGCTCTACTAAAGGAGTTTTCAAGTTGTATTAAGGTATGGTTTATGTTACTATAGGTTATTGAATAAGACAAATTGACTAGGTTTGTACAATATATTAAGCCAAAAAGTGATCTATTTGTTTATTGTTCAAACAGTGGATTCCAACTTTTCCTCAGACCGTGTTAATTCTTAGACTGAAAACATGAGAGATGGTTGGAAGGAACAGATTAGGATCCCGATGTAAATGGCATGCTAAAAAAGATTTCTAATTTTTATTCATGCTAGCAGAAAAGCCAAATCGGGGTAAAGGCTCATTTATAAGATCTTCCAAAATCCCAGTTTACCATTATCATTCATCAAACATACCATCACATTCATCACAGATGAAATATACTGTATGAGGTCTTTGGAAATAAAGGGGAAAAAAGGTATCTATTGATAAAGCAACCAGTGCAGCTTTCATGTCTAATAAGAGCTTTTATCTGTTGGATCAAAATTTGCTCTATAGTATAGATATTATAAAGAATCATTATTTCTTAAGCCATTTGAAAATGGATATGTTTATTTATTTAGCAAATTTATATAGTTGCCTAGCGCACAGTGACTGTGGGCAGCATACAATTAAATAAATATTTAAAACAAGTACAACATGTTAGTATCCATAACATTTGTCATTTCTTATATACAAATTTCTCTTCTAAAAAAGCACATTCTTTAACCATATGGAAGGTTTCAGATATGAATGTAAATGATATAATATTAGATACTTGAATATTAGATTTTAAAAACTTAGTTTTATTAAAACACAATTTAATACAAAATATTTCATTGTTCATTATGGTTATTTCTCAACAGGGATGGATTGATAACTTTAATGGACCTAGTGGCCTTTTTATTGCTGTAAGTAACAGTTAAATGAAGGGGTTTTTTTCTCTTAAAAATGGAAATAATTTGAAATGGCTTTCTTAATGTGTTATTTTTTTATTTTAAGGCAGGAAAAGGAATTCTTAGAACAATGCGAGCCTCGAATAATGCAGTTGCCGATCTTATTCCTGTAGATGTAGTCATCAATGCAACAATAGCTGCTGCTTGGTATTCAGGAGTTAATAGGTATAACAGGTGACAATTATTTTTTTATATAGGATAAGCAATAGTTATATAATATTAAATTATATAAGCTTAAATTTCCCCAAATATTGATGTTATTTTTGTTTGTTCTTTACACCTGTTATGTTCCTTGAACTTAAAAAAAGGTCTAGCAGTTCTGCCGAGTGCCTCTGAATTACCCACCACACCCACTTATCCTTAGCCAGAAATTTATGACTGATTTCTGAGTTCATAAACTGAGCTATAATGCAAGATCAGGGAGTGTATGATCCTTCCTTGTTCTGAATATAAGTGATGGTTCAGACATGCTTGAATTTTTTGACATTGCTTCTTTCTTTGAAGATATTTCTGAACCTTCATTTATTTGTTTATTTAGGACCGTGATGGTGAATCCATGGCATGTGTGCCACAGGTGGCAAGCACAGCCATTTGTGTGGGCACACGAGCCCCAGCCAAACTTACCTGCACTGCACATGCATGTGCCTCCCAGCTGATTTTCGGCCAATTGAGGCTGTTTTTGCGCTCCCAGAGGCTCAAGGAAAGCATCTGCAGCCATGGGAGGCCGAAAAACGGGCCTTCCAGAAATACCAGAAGTGCCGAAATGGGCCCGTTTTAAGCCTCCCGAGGCTGCAGAGGCTTATCTCGAGCCTCTGGGAAGGCAAAAATGGCCCTCCGGAGGCTGAAAACGGGCACTTCTGTATTTCCGGAAGGCCTGTTTTTTGGCCTCTCAAGCCTCCAGGAAGGCGAAAATGGCTGAAGCCCATTGAAAATCAGCTGAGAGGTGCACGCATGTGCAGTGCAGGTATGGGGGCAGGGGTGTTGCACACGCATGCGCTGGGGGGATGGGGCGCATTGCATTGTGGGTGCTGGCACAAGCGCACTTTCGGCACACCACAACAAAAAGGTTCGCCATCACTGATTTAGGAGATATATGGGCTATCCCACTCTATTACTCTAGCCCTAGAGTACAGGTAGTTCTTATAGAATACAGGTAGTTCTTGACATATTCATTTAGTGACTGTTTGAAGTTACAGTGACACTGAAAAAGTGACTTATGGTCAGTCCTTGTACTTAATGAGCATTGCAGCATTCCCGCCCTCGGTCCCATGATCAAACTTTAGGTGCTTGGTGACTTGTATTTATGATGTTTGCAGCATTCTGGGGTCATGTGGTTGCCATTTGTAAGCTTCTCAGCCAGCTTCCAGCAAGCAAAGTCAATGAGGAAAGCCAGATTTGCTTAACAATCCGATAATTTAGTTAGCAGTAATAGGAATTTGTTTAACAGCTGTGGCAAAAAAAAAAAGTAGGAGAATTGGTCAGGACTCCCTGAACAACCACCTTAGCAATGGAAATTCTGATCCCAAAAGGCACATTAAGAGAATTATATCATCAAGAGAGACAATCTGGAAAAGAAACAGCAAAAGACCTAAAAATTAAATGTTGAATATGATGTACAGAACTTAAAATGCCAAAAGGCAGCAGGTAGTGCCAAAAGCTGGTACATTAGGAAGCCATTTTTTTCAGAGTGTGCTGCATGTTAGCTTGCTTTAGAGGACTTTATTTGTTTAATTCAGCAAGACATGGTCCTGCAATATCAGATAACACTATCATCTGAATATATTGTCCCAGATTTAGGGATGGTACTGCATTCTAGATCCTAACTATTTCAAATAAAACTTACATGTTTTGGTGAAAGCAGAACAATTTGATTTCAGAGAAGCCTTCGTTTACTTTAGTTCTGGCCAAATAAATATGAGTAGACCATTCTGTCTCTTTTGCACACCCCAGCCAAGTTCTTTTTTAACTTATGCACGCCAGTTCCTTTAATTGAAATGAAGGGAAGAGGTTTAAGTAATCAGTGTCAATCCTGTAAAACTGGCAAAATTTGCAGCAAGTTTGAGAATATGCTGACAGGCATGAGTTGAGAACCATAGTCTCCTTATAAGCCCTAATTTTTTATAATTAAAAACCCAGAGTCATATATTTTTTCTTTTGCCTCTCTAAAAAATGGCCATGCATCAAAATTTCTATTCTAACTTTCCTTGAGGATCCTAATCCCATTGGATTATTTTGTAAATATAAGGTTAACTGATTGTTTGGCTGCTGTTTTACATTTCTGTTGCTCTACTTTTTATAATTATTCAGCCAGTTTTCTGCTGTTCTGCTTCTCTTTTTGACTGTGCCTAAATTGTTTTATACTGAGAGGAATGATATAAAAATATAATCTTTTTTTTTCAGGCCAAGAAATATTATGGTATACAACTGTACAACCGGTGGCACTAATCCCTTTCATTGGGGTGAAGTTGGTAGGCCTTTTTTTTTCTGTAGTAATTAGTTCATTTTATATAACTTACATAGATAGCCATGTATCAAGTTAGACTCAGTTGGAACTACTTTTAAAAATAGCAGTGATTCTCCTAATTCTGCTATATTTTCCTTTCTATCTGGATACATCTGAAGGACTTTTTTTTGTTTTTGCTTTCTGTCAATAGATGATCCAGTTCGAAGTTCAACTTTAAAATGTACACAACTGACTCAGTTGTATACTCATTAATTTGTTATGTGTACAGGTAGTCTTCGACTTAGTTTATTTAGTGACCTTTTGAAGTTACAAAGGCACTGAGAAAAGTGACATGACCATTTTTCACATTTATGACCATTGTAACATTCACATGGGCACATGATTTACAATCAGATGCTTGACAAATGGTTCATATTTATGAAGGTTGGATGATGATATTTTGTGATCTTCTGACAAGCAAAGTCAATAGGGGAGCCAGATTACCTTAACAACTGGGTTACCAATTTAACAACTGCAGTAACTCACTTAACAAATGTGGCAAGAAAAGTTGTAAAATGGGGCAAAACTCACTTAGCAAATTTCTCACTTAGCAACATAAATTCTGGGCTCAATTGTGATAAGTTGAGGACTACCTGTATTTTAAACTATACTTGATTGAATGAAACACTTTAGGAGTGAAAAAATTAAGTATTTGATCAGTATTACATCAATGTGGATGAATCACATAGCTGCATGTTAGTAGGAAATACAAGGTCATATAAGCTTTATTTGCCTGTGTACATATTGCAATTTCACAGGTGTAGTAACAATACCCTTAAGAGTCTATAAAACTAAGGCAATTTGCATATTGTATAAAAGTCAGAAAACTTTATTTTTCTGATAGAAATGCACTGATACCAATTTTTGGAACAGTGTTCACATATCTGTGGCTTTACTTAGCATTTGAATTATAATGTGTGGCTAAATAGCATTTCTGATTTGGACATATTTATTACAAAACAATACTAAAGCACAAGAAATATGCTTTGAGACTGCATAGTATTTGCTGATATCCCTTACAGTACATATCAGGAAGCTGAGGAAAAAAGTCAAATTTTACTTCTGTTTCATTAGTTCATATGCTGCCACTGTATTATGCTGGAATTTATACATTGCCATCTGATCCCATCATCAATTATTTGAGATTTAGCCTACCGTTTTAGTTTCTAAACTTTTCAGACTCCATGAGGTATATTGGTTTTGTATTTCCCAGAAGTCATTTGAAATTTAAATAATTGTCTAATCTAGGCATCAGCCTATAATCTCTCTCATTTACAGTTCTTTGGTTATATTTTATGGGTGGTAAAAGGGAAGCTTGTATTTTTTTTCAACTGATTTATTTCTTTAGGGAAAAAATGGCTGATTTTACTAAATAAGGTTAAGGTAGAGAAAGCATCAGTTTAGATCCTTAAGGAAAGAATCTATTTTATATAGCGAGTTTGTAATTTTTACTTGAATGTTTTACTTAGTATATCTTAATTTTGAAATATTGCTTCAATGTAACGTGCCTGGGTTTTGTATGATTATGTAAATTATAGGAAGTTAAGCCTATGAAAAACTGTTCTCATTTATTCATAGATTTAATAAGTAAAAAAAGAGAAAAAGGGGAAACAGTTAAAAGGTAATGCTTAGGTATGCAAACAAGTCCAATGAGAAAGTTTTGTAATTTTAGTTTAATTGAATAAAATGCTTTAACTTTGTTAGTTAATGAAGTATGTGTAGGAAATAATGTGGTTTAAATCACATTATTTATGGGAATAATACTATCTGTTGTGATGTCCATGGAAGTCCAGTACATTTACATGGTTATTATCAAAGCTGTTACACAACTTTTCTTTCTTAGAATACCATGTAATATCCACTTTCAAGAGGAATCCTCTCGAACAGGCCTTCAGACGGCCCAATGTAAATCTAACATCCAATCACCTTTTATATCACTACTGGATTGCTGTAAGCCATAAGGCCCCAGCATTCCTGTATGATATCTACCTCAGGATTACAGGAAGAAACCCAAGGTAATGGTGACTAGCTCTGCTTTGTTGTTCCTCTGGCTATTTACAACCCATGCTTACACAATTAACACTTTTTTTTCCTTTTTCATAATGATGGTTGAATGGAATGTTAAATCCATAGAAGTGTTCGAATCCAAGTCTGCTGTTTTCCGACAACAGTGAAAATGGTGTAGTATGGAATACTTAACCCATTAAGATGTCTAGAGATGATTGGATTTATTCTTTGAACAAGAGCTACTCAGAACATTTTGACCCTTATTTTTCCTACAGAATGTTACCTAAATTTGATATTCAAGAGGAATCCTTTAGAACATGCAATCAGGCGTCCCAATCTTAAAATCCAGTCCAACCCCTTTATTCATCATTATTGGACTACAGTCGGTCACATACTTCCTGCGTTCTTATACGATGTTGTTCTCAGGTTGACAGGTCAGAAACCGTGGTAAGAAAGAAAGGGCTAATTTTTTGCTAAAAGCAATGGAAGCTTGGTGGCAGTTTAGATCAATGGCATGAGCTTTTTTTTTTTACCTTAGATTTACTAATGGAAGAACCAACAATAACCGTAAAAGAGCTGGATATTTTGGGGGCTTAGTGGCTGGCTGACATTTGCTTTATTAGAGTCATTGATCCATGTCACGCAGTTACTACGCTCTTCAAATCATCCTACTCTAGCACTGTTATTGAAAATTATAAGCTAAAATGAATGGGGAGGGGAAGGGGATAGAAGAGATACTAAAAACTATGGTACACATGGTCTCTTTAACGAATTTAGATAATTTAGGGCACATTTTCTATCACCATCATTTGGCTTATAATTCTTTTGGCTTAGGAATTTTTTTAAGCGGGCAAAACGTATACTTTTACTCATCAAATCTGCATATTTTTTCCTCTATCTTAACATTTTAAAATGGCAACTTTTTCAAGCTTTCTTTTGCAGAATTGCTGCTCAAACTGCACAGCCTCCACCCCCCAAAATCTGAAGGAACAGAAGATATGTCGTTATTATTTCAGTAGTTTAGTATTTGGAGAGGAGAAGGAAGCTATATATCTATATCTGTAAATATAAATACACGTAAACGCACACATACAAAGTCAAAGATTGTAGGTATGTGTATGTGTGCGTGTGTATGTACCTGTGAGAAAATGAATATGTCTCTGTCTTTGGGAACTCTCATCATTTCTCTTACAGGATTAATATACTGTTCCAATAAATAGAAATAATTTTAGTAAACACAGCTCTTTTTTGCCATAACAATTTAGGCAATAGTTTTCACTTGTTCCATGGTATAGGCAACAAGCAAAGGCAATTGAATGAGCCTGTCATATTTTCCCAAGTCCATAAATAGCAATTTTACTAATTGTACTCTTCAGAACAACTTTCCCATAAAGGATACTGAGCCTTTGTTGGTATCACTGTTGTCATTTTGGCAGTCTTCTCTACATTCCTAGAAGAAAGTTCTAGAGTAGAGAACTTCTTTTCCATTCCCAGAAGCACTTCACACTCTTCCCCTCCCCCCAGAAACTCTTCTCTCTCTTCCCCTCCCCCCAGCCATTGTGTAATACAATTTTCAGATGTAATTCATGTTTTAATAGACTATATTTGAACTCTGTAAAACATGCTTTAGTAGGTGACATCACCTGGATGACTTTGTTTTGGCTTGGAATCTAAGCAGAGGTTAGGCCTGATTACTTCTTTAATAGGAGACCACCAGGAAATGGCAGGAACTGCAGGAGGTTGAAAAATAATATGCCAAAATAATATGTCTGAAAAACTACTTCCATACTATTAACACGAAAAATACATGAATGTGCCTATATTAAGTTGAGGTCATTTTTAATCCTTGACTTTAATTGTGGGAAAGATGGTTTTCGGATTAAAACATTTCTTTAAAAAAATGTTTCCTACCAGCGAAACTTGTATTTCCTAAACATGCTTGTATCTAACTGGTAGCTATACCTGTTAAAAACATACCACGGTGAACTGATAATTATCCCATGAATTCTGCATATTCTGCCTGCTACAAGAAAATTCAAGATATATAATGATGAATACATACACTTATAAAATGCTTTGTTTCCAGTCTTGTTTATACTCAAATCCTACCAAACAAAGTAAAAGTGATTCATTGTAAAAAGCAGGTAGTATCTGTCTTTCAGAATGTCTTTTTGTGTAGAATTAGTTTGTAGTGAGCTGAAATGTAATGGTTTTCTATAAGATAAAAAGTTTATTATTTGAAAATTTGGCACATTTTGGAACTGAGTGCCATGAAATCAAAATCCAGATCACCATCCCTCCAGGACATTATGATCATATAGCATAATTGGTGATCAAATGCTAGTCCTCATACCTGTATTTTTATATTTTAGGAGCGAGAAAGTAGTTTGAAATAACCAATTTCTTGCTGAAATGTTTTAATAAAACATTCTAATTATCTTTAATAATAACAATCTATAACTCAGGTAGAATATGTGCACCCAATTTAGTTCGTAAGCTCCAACCATAATTCAAACATTAATATCAAAATATATTTCAAATAAGCCATAACAGGAAAAACACTTCCTTTGTGATGGTCTTTTAATGTATAATTAGAGATCCAAGAAAGAGACAATTTCTGCTTCTATTATTTATGAAAGAAGCTGAATTAGTATCAACATTTATCAGAGTAAAATAAAAGACCAGGGAAACCTTACAAATATATTTTTAGCTGCCCGCTAAATGGGATGAAAGCAATCTGTAGTACTCCCAGTATTGCTTAAATATAATTTTCAGCATCCCAGACAGCCAGGTCAGTATGAAGATCTTTGGAATTTTAGCTCAACAATATCTGTGACAGGTTGTTGCCTCACTACCCCTCTCAAAAAATCAAAAAATTATGATCACAATACCTTAATAACCCCCAGTCCTGTTTAGGAAAGCTGTGTTTGTGTCTTTTGATTAAATTTGGTTTAAGTGCTTGCTTAATTTTTCACACACATGGCATATTGTGTAATTTTGTCAAGCATTTTCATTTCTTTGCTGGCAAAGAAATCCAGTGTAGTTTGCTATAATGAAAAGTGGGGCTAGATTATTTTTAGCCTAGCAGTGGTTTCTCCGTTTGGCTATTTGAGCTGGTTATTGTTGACAAAGTTGTATATTATATAAATGAGACAGAATAAGATTTTGCATGTTTCAACATGATTTTTTTTAAAAAAACAAGGTGAGCATAGAAATGTAGAGAATAGAAAAATCAAAGGCCACTGTATTAAACTTGAAATATAATTAGTCTGCAGTATAAAATAACTTTGTGTTGTAATGCTATCTAATAGTGGGAAGGAGGGGATTGTAAACAAGAAGTACAATCCATTAAAATTCATTTTGTTCTGTGTTGATCATAAACAATATTTAAATAGAAGCTTCCCTTTAGCAAAAATTCTCCAGATATCAAATAACTTAGGAAAAGGTTATTTTCCTTACATAATTTTTGTCTTTTAGCCACACATAGTATTGAACAATTAATAATAATAAAATAGGAAACAGTATAACACAATAAAAAAATGGAAACAAAAATAGAATACAGCAGTAAAAATATAAAGGATTTTTTCTTTATAGGAAAAAAACATTAATGTAGTATATGAAGGACAACAGAGGGTTCAAGTCTTACTTTGGCAAGGAGTTCCAAAAGTTGGAAGCATCCACAGAGAACTTTTTCTGTTATTCTCCCAACAACTCTGAGGATCAAAATAAAAGTAATTCTCAAATTATTTTAAATCCTAGCATCTTAAAAAGGGAAAGCATTTTGTTCCAAATAAGTTGATTCCAAATAATATACAGCAGGGTTTGTAAGTTAATGTCAGTGGCTTCAGGAGTAACATGCTATTATAATTAGTTGCAATCTATAGCCTGAGTGCAGCAACCTGTATCAGCTGAGATATCAAAATATGATTCTGCCTATTATAATTTTAATGGAATGGAACTAAGATATTAAATGTTATGAATGTTAAATACTACATGAAAGGTCATTTGTGACCTGTCTTTAGTTTTGTAAAAGAACACTGAAGAATTCTGGAATTCTTTTTGAGAATAGCAATATGGGGGAGTTCAGTCAAGCTGGATTTTTTTCTGATTTTGTTTCTTTAATAAATATTTTCCATTTTTAAATGTAATAGGTTGAATATATTCTGTGGTATCTCTCAGTTTTTGTAAGACTGTGATTCGGTTTGACAGAGTTGGATGTTTTCTGTTGTATTATGTAATTCATTTGTCTGACAAAAATAACATATCACAACTCAGACACTAATAATTCCATAAAATCTGCAACATGTGGACTATTCATGCAGATATACAGTGGTTCTTAAGCAGAAAAGCGCTGTGAGGAGCATTCCTTGAAGAAAGACTGTTTGAGAGTGTTTTTAGCTCATGAAAATTATTATACTTAAGTATATACGATGATACCTGCAAAATGTTCTAATGGTATTCTAATGCTGTTAGAATATGTTAGTCCCTTATTTGCTTGGCAATTACAGCTTAATATACCTAATGTAATCATTTATTGCCATAAAGCACAAGTGAATAAATGTTTCATTCATAGAGCCACTAGCTTTTGTATAAAAGATATAACTAAATAGGTATCACCTGAGACAGTTTACAAGTAAGATAATAACATAATAAAAATATGCTTATTTATATAATTTGTAAGGATTGATTATGTTTCATCAAATGGATATCAATTTTTAGCAATTACATACATTTTCTCCATGACAGACTGTCCCTAACCTGGTCCTTAAAGGATTGGTAATATTTAGAGTGCAGTGATAATATTTAGAAAAGTGCTGTACTGATTAAATAGAAGAAGCTAGATTAGAATATCATAAACTAAAACCACAACTATCCAGCAGACAATAAAATGAAACCAAACTAATCTCTAAAAATAAATTGTGACAGTATTGAAAGAGAGGTCTTGATCAGACTGGAAAAGTGAAATGCTTTCCAGGAAAGAAAATATAAAAGTAATGTATGTCTGTATATGTACATACATATGCATATGTATATATGAGGAGTTCAACCTGAGACCCTGGCAACATTTATTTTGAGAAACAATCTAGGATACCTCTTAGTGTCCTTTTCAAAAACTTAGTTATATTTGTCTCATGAATTTTATATCATTAAGGATGCTTGTTTATAACAAGTTTGATTGAGTTAGATGTTATGCTTATAAATGTTTGAAAGAATACTTTATAACAGGGGTCACCAACCCCGGGCCGCGGACTGGTACCAGACTGTGGCCTGTTAGGAACCAAGCCACGTAAGCAGCAGGCAACCAAGCGGAGCTTCATCTGTGCATGCATGGGATCTAGGCTGCACATGAAATCATTCTCCCATCCCCAGACCACGGAAGGCAATTTTCCTAATGAAACCTGTCCCTGGTGCCACAAAGGTTGGGGACAGCTATTTTATAACATGGATGATATGTATAATTTCTCTTAATATAACCCAGAAGCTGTTAAGATCCATTGGGAGTTTCACTGTTCTGAATTATTTTACAGAAGGTTGTTGTTCATATTTCAGATGTATGTCTTCCTTTATATAAATTCACTTATTATTTGCAGTAGAATTGCATTTGGCTATCCTCAATATAAGCAAGTTACCATAACTGAATAAAAGAAATATGTCTTTCTAAAGCAATCTTTATTTCATGGTGACTTTTCTTTTTGTGCTTCACTTTTTCTGTCTTCCTGATGATCAGTGCTTTCTATTATAAGGTTCAGTCTTGAAATGGTCAGGGTCAGAATAGCTGTCAAATAAGGTTCTAGGGGTTTGTATTCCTGGTTGCAGCACCAACAAAAAGTACAAAAGAATTCAGAGTTCACTAAATTCAAGTTCAGAGATACTAGTATTTTAAAGCTATTTTTCAAGTTGATCCTACTAATAGAATGCACTATATTCAAACAAAATATTTACTGTTGATTGATTCGGGCAATAAACATGAATAGAATATTTCTGCATATTAAGTAGTAGACATCTGAACCAGCATGATGCAAAGCATTTTTTATAACCAGTATTCAAAAGAAGATGGTTTTATAAAGAAACGTTTCTTCCACGACCTTTTCAATTTCTAAATTAATGGGCAATGGAGTATCTCCATGCAAATCTCATCTGAATTATTGGTGAATTATACTGTGGGTTTATTAGAGTTGTGCAGAGCTTCAAATTCAAAAGGTTAAAGATAATTTGAAGTGCATTGTGATCCCCCCAAAAGGCACTGACTTAAAGGAGCTGCAATTGTTGTTATGAGTTCCCTTCATATCTGCACAGCCCTAATTTATAGATAGATTTTGGTGTTCACAGTACTATCGAAGAAAAGGACCTCAGCCTTTCAACGAGGGAGGGGGGGGAAATGATTTAACATGCTATGCAGAAATACTCTGTTTTTGAAAAGTCTACTTCAAGTTTTAATGGTGTAATGAGCAAACTGGAGGATCCTCTGAAGGAACCTTCCTTCTAAGTGTTGAGTCATATTTAAGTTGTGAGTGTGATATTCTTTAATAACATCTTTCCCTGGGCTATAGGATGATGAAAACAATAACACGTCTTCACAAAGCTATGGTGCTGTTGGAGTACTTTACAAGTAATTCATGGGACTGGAACACAGACAATGTCAATATGCTTATGAGCCAGCTGAGTCCTGAAGACAAAAAGGCAAGTTACATTTGTGTTGGTTTGCTTGCTAACAATGTAGTACCTAAGGTATTTCAATTAAGGAACAAAATAAAAACATAAGAAACTAATGAAAAGATAAAGCTGTAGCGTGATCCCCTTCTATAGTGGCTGGCTTTGATCTATTGTAGTTTTTCTGAAACAACAATGCCAGATGTATTCAGTATGCCCATTTTCCTAATAAGGACAATTAAATAAAGATAGATCTTTGTATGGGCAGCATTGGAATCCCAGATAAACCAAAATAAAGTTACTATATATATAAGTACACTGCTCAAAAAAATAAAGGGAACACTTAAACAACACAATGTAACTCCAAGTCAATCACACTTCTGTGAAATCAAACTCTCTGCTTAGGTAGCAACACTGATTGACAATCAATTTCACATGCTGTGGTGCAAATGGAATAGACAACAGGTGGAAAGCATAGGCAGTTAGCAAGACATCCCCAATAAAGGAGTAGTTCTGCAGGTGGTAACCACAGACCACTTCTCAGTTCCTATGCTTTCCGGCTGATGGTTTGGTCACTTTTTCATGCTGGCAGTGCTGTCATTCTAGTGGTAGCATGAGACGGAGTCTACAACCCACACAAGTGGCTCAGGTAGTGCAGCTCATCCAGGATGGCACATCAATGCCAGCTGTGGCAAGAAGGTTTGCTGTGTCTGTCAGCGTAGTGTCCAGAGCATGGATGCACTACCAGAAGACAGGCCAGTACATCAGGAGACGTGGCGGAGGCCGTAGGAGGGCAACAACCCAGCATCAGGACCGCTACCTCCGCCTTTGTGCAAGGAGGGACAGGAGGAGCATTGCCAGAGCCCTGCAAAATGACCTCCAGCGGGCCACAAATGTGCATGTGACTACTCAAACGGTCAGAAACAGACTCCATGAGGGTGGTATGAGGGCCCGATGTCCACAGGTGGGGGTTGTGCTTACAGCCCAACACCGTGCAGGACGTTTGGCATTTGCCAGAGAACACCAAGATTGGCAAATTCGCCACTGGCATCCTGTGCTCTTCACAGATGAAAGCAGGTTCACACTGAGCACATGTGACAGACGTGACAGGGTCTGGAGACGCCATGGAGAACGTTCCGCCGCCTGCAACATCCTCCAGCATGACTGGTTTGGCAGTGGGTCAGTACTGGTGTGGGGTGGAATTTCTTTAGGTGGCCGCACAGCCCTCCATGTGCTCGCCAGAGGTAGCCTGGCTGCCATTAGGTACCGAGATGAGATCCTCAGACCCCTTGTGAGATCATATGCTGGTGTGGTTGGCCCTGGGTTCCTCCTAATGCAAGACAATGCTAGACCTCATGTGGCTGAAGGGTGTCAGCAGTTCCTGCAAGACAAAGCTATTGATGCTTTGGACTGGCCTGCCTGTTTCCCAGACCTGAATCTAATTGAGCACATCTGGGACATCATGTCTCATGCCACATTCACCATAGACTGTCCAGGAGTTGGGGGATGCTTTAGTCCATGTGTGGGAGGAGATCCCTCAGGAGACCATCTGCCACCTCAGCAGGAGCATGCCCAGGCGTTTTAGGGACGTCATCAGGCATGTGAAGGCCACACACACTACTGAGCCTCATTTTGACTTGTTTGAAGGACATTACATTAAAGTTGGATCAGCCTGTAGTGTTTTTTTCCACTTTAATTTTGAGTGTAACTCCAAATCCAGAACTCCATGGGTTGCTAAATTTGATTTTCATTTATAATTTTTATGTGATTTTGTTGTCAGCACATTCAACTATGTAATGAACAAAGTATTTAATAAGAATATTTCATTCATTCAGATCTAGGATGTCTTATTTTTGTGTTCCCTTTATTTTTTTTGAGCAGTGTATATTTTCCATAGAGTAGGAAAAATATTTGCTTTTAAAATAAAAACTCATACATATTAAAGTGTTAACATTAAGGGAGGATGATAGAAACCCATTTAAAGAATGATACTTGGATGGTAAAGAAAACCTTTAGGTGTGAGATTTGCCATAATTGGATATCCAAACTGAATGCTGATACATTTTTGTAACTGTATTAAGAAAAGGGGGACGTAACTTGGTATTATAGGACCTAGACCAAGGGTCTTCAAACTTTGGCAAGTTTAGGACTTGTGGACCAACTCCCAGAATTCCTGAGCTAACATGACTGGAGGAGGAATTCTGGGAGTTGTAAGTCCACAAACCTTAAAGCTGTCGAGTTTGAAGACCCCTGATCTAGACACAATAATTCTATATAATTACATAGATCCAGTTACATAGATAAATAATTCCACTGAACTCTGAATAAACATTTATACAATTCATTTGTTACCCTTTCAAATATGTGATTTAGCCAATTTTCACACAGACACCTTTTATTTTGATATTGTTTTAAAGGGCCGAGTAGAAAAGACTGTTGGTATCAACATGTTTCTTATGTAATTCTGCTTGTGGTTATTATAAGCCTTATAATATAAGGGATCCAAGAGTTTGACTTTATTTGTGCCGTCAATATTATGGATCATTAATGGAAGTTAATTCTTAGATTGGATGGATAGTTGATGTTTTATTTGTTTTTACTAAGAAACAATGTTTTATCCATTGTACTCCTGATTTGAGCTTAAAACTATATTTTTTTAGTAATAGATACATTGTTTAATTTTTATATCAGGTATTTAATTTTGATGTTCGGCAGTTACATTGGGCAGAATATATGGAAAATTACTGCATGGGAACAAAGAAGTATGTACTGAATGAAGAAATGTCTGGTCTCCCAGCAGCTCGGAAACACTTAAATAAGTATGTGAACTTGACTTCTTTGTTCCATAAATTAATTGTATTTATGTCAGCTATTCTGAATGTAAATGTTGATGAGCTGTGGGGGCACGGGTTAGAATGCAGTATTGCAGGCCAACTTTGCCCACACCAGGACTTTGATCCTGCCTGGCTAAAGATTGACTCAGCTTTCTATCCTTCCAAATTGGACCCAGGTTGTTGAGGGAATATGCTGACTGTTAACTGTCCAGAGAATGCTGTAAAGCATTATGTAGTGGTATATAAGCGGGCGTGGGATGCTGGAGGCTCGCAGTGGGGTTGGGAGAGCCCCTAGCTAAGATGTGTAGTTCGGAGAACCCCCAAATCCCACTCCTGACTGGCCCACCCC